GAGCACTCCACGTAGCCGCACTTCCAGGTCTTGCGCACCAGGTGAGACACGTTCCAGCGCGGGATCACGCGTCCGCGCTGCAGGTCCCGCTTGTTGCCCACGATGATGATGGGCGTCTCTGAGGTGCCAATCACCCTGGGGGGCGAGGTGGGACTCTCAGAACTCCGCAGTCCAGTGGCTGCGACCCTGGACTTCAATGAAGGCAGGCTGTGCCTGGTCAATAACAGTGCTACCTTACGTCTGTTCCAGGCGCAGGGCTTAGCTCTGGAGTGACCTGACATTCGCTAATCTGCACAATTGATCCAAAGGGTGGGTACTAGTGTTAGCCCCGTGTTACAGATGAGGAACCTGAGGCGTACACATTCACTGTCCTGGTCATGCAGCCGAGCGGCCCCGGAAGCCTTGTTCCCGGAGCCCCTGATCTAACCACTGTATTAGACTAGCCACCCCCTGGTAAGGGTCCCAAAATGAGTTCATAGAAATGGGGAACAGCAAAATGTCATGAGTGTGTGTGTGTTTGACTGGATGTGTGGGAACTGGAGGGGACTTCATCTGCCTCCCTCCACTGCACCCTTTCCGTGGAAGCTGGCTAGCACCAGGCGCAGTGATGGCGAACCTATGACACACGAACTCATTTTTTTTTGGTTGATTTTTCTTTGTTAAATGGCATTTAAATATATAAAATAAATATCAAAAATATAAGTCTTTGTTTTACTATGGTTGCAAACATCAAAAAAATTCTATATGTGACACGGCACCAGAGTTAAGTTAGGGTTTTTCAAAATGCTGACACGCGGAGCTCAAAAGGTTCGCCATCACTGCTAGGGCATCCACTGGGGTGGCAATGGACGGTATCCTGGGCCCTCACCTTGTCTCTAGGATCTGCTGGCGGATGGTCTTGACGTACTCAAAACTGTCAAAGCAGCAGATGTCGTAGACCAGGATGTAGGCGTGGACACTCCGGAGTCCCCTGCAGCAGGCATCTGCCCACTCCTGCAACACCCCCAGTTAAGGCCAAGGTTAGAGCAGCCATGAGGGTTCCCCTTGTCCCCAGCCACCTCCAGCCATAGATGGACAGCACTCTCACCTGCCACAGCACCCTAAGCCTTTCACACCCACCCATCCCCAGGAAGCCAGGGCCAGGGCAAAATGGAGCTCAGTGCTGTGATAGGGTAGGTCACACTGTCTGACCTTGGGGACCACTACACGGCCCTGTGCATATTGGGAGCTGTTGAAATGGTCTTTACCTTTTAAAAAAAATTGATTTCAGAGAGAACAGGAGAGGGAGAGATAAACAGATCAATGATGAGAATCATTGATTGGTCGCCTCCTGCATGCCCCCCACTAAGGATCAAGCCCACAACCTGAGCATGTGTCCTGACTGGGGAATCAAACCATGGCCTCCTGTTTCATAAGTGGATGCTCAACCACCGAAATAGTCTCTATCTTCCAAGGCTTAGCTCAAATGCCTCCTCCTCCAAGAAGCCTTCCTACAAGCAAGGGTCTACTCCCTTAATCTCCTGTGTGCATATACCTTGGTTACCACTGTTTCCATCTCCAGATCCCCACTTCTGCGAGCTCCTGAGAGAACCAGAACCAAGCCACCCTCATTTTTATGTAATTCCTCCTCCTCCTCCCCACTCAGTACCTTGCACACTGCGTTGGCTCCTAGCAGGCTCCTAATGGGCGCACTGCCTAACCTGGTGAGCTCTCCATGGTCCTGAACCCCACTTGGTCCACACTGGGATCAGTGCAACTCCTGTCTGCCACGCTGCCCTTAGATTGCTATCTGATGTTCCCCTCTGTAGGTTCCACTCTGCCCTTGGACAGAAGGAGAAGGTCTGAGAGGACTGAGACTGGATACATAGTCGGGGCTGATGGACAGCAAGGCCCCAGGGAGCCGGAACTTCCTGAATGTTTGTGGCAAATTCTCAGGGTGGGGTTGCAGCTCAAGATGAATAGACCCATGGAAAGTCTGAGTGCAGTAAAGAGAAAGTTCCTTAAGAATTAATTAGCTAATTAACTTGCCAGCAGATGGCAATTGCAAGAGCAGTTGAAGGCAGCCAGTGTGTGGAAAGAGCATGGACTCTGAAGCGGGGGTTGGGGTGGAGGTAGAGGCCTCCGGGCCAAGGGGAACCAGGGTCTTCTCCTTTGAGGGGCCAGGCAAAGATGAGAAGGAGGTGCAGCATGTCTCCTGAGCCAGCTTGCGAGTTGCATTGGGGAAAAGACCAGGCATCAAGGAGGACTAGGCAGGTTCTCCATCTCAGAGAAGGAACAGAAAGGAAAGACTTTGGTGGTGGTGGTAGAGAGTGTGTCTGGCCCCTGAAAGGTACTTCCCAACTCAGAGGCATAGAGGCTGCTGCAGTGGATTTCCCCGGGGAGATGATGTGGCATCTTTTCTTTGTGCTGAGTTTTAACTTTGGTGCAGGGGGAAGACACTGAGGACAAATCTAAAACTGTAGGAAACCATTAACTGGCTTCTGGGGCAGGGAAAACGGCATTCCGCCGGACACAGTGAGCTCCAGGAGCCCAGGACCCACATTTGTACATGGTTCCTCCCCCAACCCCCATAGGAGTGATTAGTGGCAAGTGGGAGGAATGGGGAAACAGGCAGAGGTTCCCTCCCTCTTCCAGCTCTCTGCTGGGGAGAGGGAACAGCTGCCAGCCTGCCAGGGTGACAGCCCCACCTCTTCCACCTCTTTCCCAACATGCTGACTCCTCAAGGGGGCCGCCAGGCTGCCTCCCACCCACTTCTCTCTGGAGGCTCCTAAAAGGGGGAGGAGGAAGGCTCCTGATTGGCTGGCTTGTCCCTTCACCCCTGGTAGAAGGGAGGGAACAAGAAAGCTCAACTTTCCTTCCAGCTTGTTCTATGAAGGGTTCCAGGTGGTAACAGACCATCTTGGGGCCCTGTCAAAACACAAGAAGGAGCGATGGAAACTGAGTCCAGTTCCAAGGACCTGGGGGATGAGGGAAGTTCAACACTGGGCCTCACCCGGGCATTCGCTGCTCATTCCTTTGGTGGCTGCTTGAGCCCTCTAACCTCAGCTTCCCTCTCTGATAGGAAGGAGGAGAGGGGGCTGCGGGAGGGACAACTGAGGCTCAGACCCAGGAAACACCACTCTCCTGGGCTGATTTCACTTGGAGTTGGGAAAGAATGTGTTTTTATTCTACTGTCAGGTGGTGCCATCAGGATACTTGGGTTTTACATTTGTTACTTGTGCTCCAGGAGTGAAGTCTGGGACATCCTAAAAAGTCCAAAACTCAGGGTCAACCAGAAAGAAAAAGACCAACAATCCAATAGAAAGATGGGCCAAGGGCATGAATAGTTGTCAGAAAAAGAAATATAAAGGCTCTTAAACATATGAAAAGATGCTCAACATCACTAATAATCAGAGATGCAAATAAAAACTACACAGAGACTATCAAATTTCATCTATCAGATTGTCAGACAATACACTCCGATGGGGAGCTCTGGCTGGGTAGCTCAGTTGGTTAGAGCATCGTCTTGATACTCCAAGGTTGCGGGTTCGATCCCTCATAGGGCACATACAAGACGCAACAAATGAATGCATCAGTGAGTGGAACAATAAATTTATCTCTCTCTTTCTCAAATCAATAACAAAAAAGGCTTTGAGGGAAACAGCGCTCATGTAAGCCTATAGATGGAGAGGGGAGTCTGACACCTTCCTAACTCCAGGTGCATTTACCCTTGATCCAAGCAATGCCTTTCCAGAAATGCATCCACAGATATGTCTCCTATGTACTGAATGACTGTGTACAAGGCTGCTCGCCGCAGCACTATCTGAAATAGCAAAAGATTGGAAACAACCCGCTTGTCCAACAAGTGGGTTGCTGCCTAGTACACCTCTCCAATGGACTGCAGCGTAGTCACAAAAAAGAATGAGATGCCCTCTAGATACTGACTTGGAAAGATCTCCAGCTTATAACGTTCAGTCCAAAACACAAGGTCCAGAACAGTTTTGTTTTTTAAATGTAAGAAAGGAAGTGGAATAAGAACACATTTTCTTATTTGTGTAAAGAAACACTGGAAGTCTGAATGAAAAAAACAACAAGGAGAGTGGCTTTAGAGAGCGGGGCAAGGATCAGGGTGAAGCGGGCAGCGGTGGCACTGAGATTTCTCTGGGTGAACCTTTCTACCAAGTTTGAACTTCTAAATTGCGTCTTACCGAGGCCAAACTCGAAATTAAAATGAAGTCCACAACAAAATGTGAAACATACACAAAGCTTGATGTGCCAGCCTGGAGTGAGATCTGAGACCCAGGCTACTGTTAAAGGCTCCTTGGGGAACTAGACCCTGACCCACTGCCCTGACCTCGCTGCTCCCAAGGGGTGGCTGCCTGGATCAGGCTGTTGTCTTTGGTGCTGATCCCCCTACCTGGAATGGCAGAAACAAGTGTCCTTGAGGTTGGGCCAAGGCCCTTCTGGCCCGGGGTTGCTGAGACAGTGCCGAGCCTGAGTCCCTCCCCAGCTGTACTTGCACAATTACAATTGGCCAAGCCATGGCCCTGCCTTCCTGTCTCCACCACTGTGCCTATCCTCCTCTGGTGAGGGGCTGCCGTCAGTAAGCAAAGCGTCTTAGAGCTCCCCATGCACCCGCCCGTTCTGAAGCCAGGAGCAGAGAGAAGGAAGGAGGACTTGGTCCCTGCACGCTTGGGGAAGGAGCACTGTCAGCCCTGGCACCGGGGGCACCTGAATCTAATCCCTGCAGGAAGGGTGCCCAGCAGGCCAGTCCTGAGAGCAGGGGCAGAGCATCACGTAAGGGAAAACCCCCTTGGGCAAGAGACCTGTCTGAGAACACACCTTTGCCAGGTCTTGGCCTTTTCTTATGCTGTCCCGTCTACTGACCTTTCTACCCCAGTGCCCACTACAGAGCCTGGCACACATAATAAATAAAGCTAATAAAGCTCATCAAATATCTGTAGAATAAACCAGCACACAATGGATTCCTGGTACGGCTCTAAGCTTTCCTGGTGGCCCATGGTGCAGGGTGGAGCTGGAGAGGGCTGGAGTCCCGCCTGTCCCCTACCCTTCCCACTGCCCCCCTACGCGCGTGGGCCCTCCTACCTGCAGCGTGTTGACAGGGAAGGCGCTGATGGGCGGGAAGTCGAGGATCTGGAGGTCGTGCACGTGGCCGTTCATGACGACAGCAGGCAGGTAGAGGCGGCGGGTAGTGGTGGGCACGCAGACCTCGCTGAATTCGTTGTACAGGAACTGGCGCACGATGGCACTCTTGCCCACGCCTCGCGCCCCCAGCACGGCCACCCGGTAGGTGGAGACCATGCCTCTCGCCCCACGCCGCCACCGCCTCGCCGCTGCCTGGGGCTCCCCCGGGCTGCATATTCCAGGGGCTGGGGGCTCAGCCACCGTCAGGACCAGTCATTGCTGCCCCTGCCCGCCCTGGGCCCTCTGCGGCCTCCACCTGGACTGTGGGGACAAGAGGTGGCTAGCTTTAGGGTCTTTGCTGAAGCTGTTTCAGCCACTCAGAATGCCTTCCCTTGCCCAGAACCCCTATCGTATCTACTGAAATCCTCGCCATCCTTCCTTCATTTTTTCCTGTCCTCCCACCGCAGGGAATGACCCGACGTCTGGCCAGCGAGGCAGGCTGCGGAGCGTCGAGCCCAGCTTCCCCACAGAGTCTGAGACGTGTCTGGGTCTCCCCGCTCAGGGGTGAGACGAGGCCAGTGTGTCTCAGTGGAGGCGCTCCTGGCATTTCTTAGAGGGAGAAATCTTCACTGGGCAGGAAGACTGGCACACTGCAGGACCTCTTACATCCCCAGGTGCCAGCTGCAGCAGCCTCCAGTCACCATGACAACCCCAAATGCCCCCCATTTCCAAATGGCGCCATTGAGACCCTGGACTAGATGACCTCTTGGCTATGGAGGGCAACACTTGCCGAGCACTTGCTCTGTTAGCGTGCGTGCCCACAAGGTACCCTCAGTGAATACGATACCCCTAAGGCAGTGGTCGGCAAACTGCGGCTCTCAAGCCACATGCGGCTCTTTGGGCCCTTGGGTGTGGCTCTTCCACAAAATACTGACTTCTGCGCATGGGCCACGAAGTTTCAATCGCACTGTACGTGCACACCCGCACGTGGTATTTTGTGGAAGAGCCATGCTAAAGGGGCCAAAGAGCCGCATGTGGCTCGCGAGCCGCAGTTTGCCAACCACTGCCCTAAGGGACAGGGGTTCCCACTTAAGAGAAGGCTCAGCGAGTAAGAAATGTGCCCAAAGACACACAGCTGGGAATGCCAGCTACTCCTTTCTACAATGTCGCAGCGCTTCTTCCAAGTCTAGTGATTCCCGCTGGTAAATGCCTACAGGCCAAGGGTTGTGTCTGATTCTCTGGCAACCCCCTGAGCTCAGAGGGCCTGGCACATCGCAGGTGTGCTAGCAGCCAGGACCGGGCCACTTGCTACAAGGTTGAACCTTGTCACAGATTCATTAGCTCTGTGCTTGCTCAGTTTCAGGGACTTTAGAGCTTGGGTATAAACCACAGCTGTGTTTTCTAGCTGAATCAGAGCCACACTCTGCACATCTATTAAATGGGTCCATAGACCCTACTTCTGAGAAAATCTATGTAAATCTCCTAGCTAGGTGCCTTTCCTCTTTTAGGGGGTGATGGGGACGGGGGGGAGGATGATGACCAGGACCAGGGAGCTGCTACCTGCCTGAGACATTGTTTGGGGACTATTCCCAGGAAGGATGAGACCAGTGCCTGCAAAAGGGGGTCCAGCAGAGATGGGTTTGCTGGATTTAGTGCCATGCTTTTCAGGCTGCATGTATGTGTTCTGTGCGGATGCATGCTCTTTCCACACATGCACAGTTCACAGCTAAATGCACTGCGTTCTTTCCTAGTCCAGAGGACCTAATCCGCTAGGTCCTTGTACTGACAGCATAGTATATACAGGCAGGATTTGGAGTGAGACACACCAGGGTTGGATTCCCAGCTTTGCCACTCACCTCAAGTGTGACCTTGGGCATGAAACTTCACAGGGTGTGGTGTGGTTGTACAGGTAAAGCCAGGTGCCTGGCACAGAGTAGGTGTCCAATGAGGAGTGGCCATTGCTATGCACCTCCATCTAAGGCTGCTAGGACCTCCTAGCAACCCCGGGATGGGTCACCATCCACTGCTGTTTACAAACATGCTTTGTGTGTGTATGTGTGTTTGTGATTCTTTCCCCCATTTTACTGACAGTAAAAACAAGAACCAAAAGAAACCCCCAGAGACTTAGGGAAGTGACCGCAGAGCCAGTTGAGCTGTCAACTAAGAGTGGGACCCTGACCGCCTTCTGCCCCATGTAGTGTCTTCTCCTCAACAGGTGCTTATGGGCTCCCAACCCGGGTAAGTCCCAGTCCCTCCTCTCCATCAACCGCTCCAGGCCCTGGGCCCCTCAGGCACCCCTGGACACTGCCAGCTGGGCAGAGAACCTCAGCCGGGTTAATTACATAACCAGACAAGCAGGTGGGGAGGGGGACATCGAGGGCAGGTAGAGAGGAAAGGAACCCAAGAAGAGTCCTCTGCCTCTCTCTGGGTGGCAACTCAGGTATCTAGGATGTCCCCCACCTGCACATCCTCCTGGACACCACACTTCCTGCCCAGGAATCAGTCCTTTAGGGGGAATAACGGGAAATAAAAGCGGGTCACGGTGCTAGTGCCAGGAAGCGGTGCAAGAGAGGCCCCCAGGCTGGGGCAGCCTCCTGGAACTCACCAGGCCCAAGGGTGGCCCTGTCCCTGACTCAGAGGTGACCGGTGCCCCCTCCTTCTTCCCAGGCAGGGGTCCTGGGTCTAAGTGTCTACTAATCCAGCACGCCCAGCAGGTGTGGGGGTGAGTGCCGGCTGTCCAGAGCAGCAGGGCCCAGCCCCTGAGCCTTCCTCCCCAAGGCCTGTGCTCTGCAGTGAGTCTGCAGACAGCGCTGCCCGGGAAGAGCCTGGGGACTCACCCAGGGGCCCAAGCTCGCCTCTCGTCCTCTCCCCTGGGCCTGGATGCCGGAGTCTCTGCCCCAGACTGAGGACCGGGCTTTTTGGGTTCCGTGGGCCGAGTCACCGTCTGCCTGCTGTTGTCCCCACCACGTTCCTGTGCGAGTGGGTGGGTGGGGGCTTTGAAGGATGCTGGGCTACCCATGACCTGATTGGTAGGAGTTTGGGGCGAGGGGGGGATGCTAGAGCCCAGCCTGATCTCCGCCTCCAGCACCTTGCAGGCACCCCGCACCCCCAGCTCCAGCTCTCACGTGGCAGCCCCGCGCCGCTTC